ATCGTGTGGCCCTCAGTCTATGTACTGAAGCGACTGTTAACTCTACGAATCATGTACTGAGAGTCAGTTAACTCTTCGGGTACTCCGTACCCATGTGTACGCCACACCGTGTAACCCCGTTACACTCTCTCCCACTAAGATGGGAACTTACCCGTTCTCGAAAGTATCTCAGCCAGGCCACGACTTACCAAGACGTCGGAGAGCAGTGCGTCTCATCCTTGCGTTCTCCATCTCCCCGAGCTCACGAACACCTTCACGTCTCTGATGTATAACACTTCGCCTCGGCCAACGGCCCAACAGCATCAGCATGTCGCGCGTCATGTTCCCACGAGGTTCCTGTGACGGGGTACAAACCCCAGTGTACCCAAGTTACATGAAGAGTGACCAGTCACTCTTGTAATACCTGGTACACGGTACCAGAGGCTCTAGGAGCCAATCATTGCATATCTACATAGAATTACTAAAGATGACTTATAGTTTGTATTAGAAACCAAACTAAGCTACCTATAAATACAATCAGTCTTAAACGTACCCTTAATTGAGTACTTCGCCCCCTCAGACGAGGGACACGTGAACTATCGTTCACTAAGAGTTTGTATACTCTTGGAAGCCTGCTTCCGCAGCGCAAGGTGCTGAGTGACCCCGACACAGTCCCAGACCATTTTGCGCACGCCGTGCCTGCTCCGAGAGCTGCCGCACATACCTTCGTGGCCGGGCACCACGCTGTCAACATGGCACACGCTCAATGAGCCGCCGACCTGATGTGAGCCAAGCTCAAGAGCCTTGGTCTCCATATCCATCTGACCCTTGGGCTCCGACCATCTAGTTCAGTGGTCGAGCGCTCGCTTTAAAGCGTGAGGTCCGTGGTTCGATACCACCCCCGAGGACATAGCCCATATACTAAGGTTTTGGACTCAATCAAGCCACGGGCAAAAGGGCCCACATAGCTCAATGGTCGAGCGTTGGCATTGAAAGCCATAGGTCGGTGGCTTGATCCCGTTGGGGCACACACACCTTCGCTGTAATAAGGCAAATTCCAACCTTTGATGATGCTCCTTGAGCAAGTTTCTTCGAAACAAATACGCGTCAATCAGGACGCTTGTGCTTGGACCTCGTCCAACACAACACGAAGCATCCGCTTCCGTCGGGACCACGTCCCAACACCACGAAAAACACCTGCCTCCTGCTCCCGCTGCGAGCACCGATGCTCATACTTGAGCTGGCTGCTCCAACCACTTGTCAGAGCCGGAGCTCGGCTACCGACATGTAGACACCCCGCACTACTGGCGGGAAGCGCTTGGAACTTGGCGATGCGGTCGCAAGCCAATGTGACTCATTAGCAGTGGTTGTACCAGGTTATAGGCGTCAACGACGTCAATGCAGTTCTCACGTAGGTGCACCTTGACCTCCCATGAGTTCTGTGAATGTGGATATCCTCTCCACTTCACCAAGTACTGGGTACGACCCTGGCGACGACGCCGCGCCACAAGGCGTTCCACATGATAGTGGGGCTCACCGTGCTTGTCGAGTAGAGCTGGAGGAGGCCGTGCCTCAGCTGGATTCCCGCGCTGCGAATCGGCACTCGCTGGAACGGCGTCTGCGTCCTCACGACGCATGCGTACTTGACGCGAACGACCACGTTCATCGCGAAGCGGTCGGTCTCGAAGAGATGTTCCACTCCGAGGACTGTTTGTACTCCTTGTTGTTGATTCGCAACCAGGTCTCGGACCTTGAACACTAAGTTGCTCAGCTGTATCTTCAGCTTGACTTACTCCTGCATCTCGAGCATTTCGCTCTGCGATCGGTGGCTTCGCCACATGCTATTCACCAGCTCCCCGTGGTTCCACCTCTTGCTGCCGCCCAGCCTTCCGTGGTTTCACCACCTGCTGTCCCGCAGCCGCACGCGGTCTAGCCGCTCTCTGCCGATTCGGCGCCAGTGACTCGTCGATTACACGAACCGGGTCCTAGTACGGATTGAGAACCGCCATGACGTCGCCTCAACCTTGAGTCTGGTGGACTTGAACGGACTCTTTGAGAGCCACGTAGCAATCGACAAGCCGACGTAAAACACCGGGTGGATGCGCATCTTCTTCGGAAGATTAAGCCTGTACACTAGCTTCATTCTGGACACGACCTTGAACGGTCCGATGGACCTAGGTCTCAGGTTTGTCTTGAAGACGGCAGACACTGCATGCGTAGGTAGGTTTTTCGCGTTTAATAAACCGAGGTCTCCGACCACAAACCTTTCTACATTCCCTCTGCTTCGATCATCCGCATGCACCTTTTGCAGGCTTGGCTCTCAGCCATAGCGTCGTGCATCTGGCGCACAACGCTAAGTCTGAGCGAAACAAAGTCATCGACCTGTTTGCGTACCGCAATAGGGCTGACATCAGCAAGCCGCTCGGCTATTCCTCCCCCGCCAAGCCCAGACCCACCACGTGGCGGCGTCAGCGGGACGCGAGGATTCGCAAGACCGTTCACATAGAACGGGGTGAAGCCGGTAGAGGCATGTACCGCATTGTTCAATACAAACTCAACGAGTGGGAGCATCTCGCTCCAGCGTTTCGGCGCTTCAGCGCATACGCTTCGGATGATATCCTCCACAACGCGGTTAACACGTTTAGTTTGACCATCGGTCTGCGAATGACCCGCAGTGACCATGTCCAAACGGGTGCCAAGCACCTTAAACAAGGGGTCCAGAACTTCGCGGTGAACTGTGGGTCTCGATCCGAGACAATTGCCTCAGGCGAGCCATGTTGGCGAAAGACTCTGTCTAGAAATAGCAAAGCTGTACCCTCACCATCGATGATGTCCGGCACTGCCGCTAAGTGAGCCATCTTGCTCAACCGGTCCACAAAGAACACGATACCAGTGTATCCCGCCTTGTCTTTGGAAGACCAAACACAAAGTCCATACTGATGGAATGTCAACATCCCGTGGGGACCGGCAAACAATGGCGGCGCCACGTTCGGCGTGGACTTCGTCCGTTGACACGCCTCATACGCGCGTACATAGGTGACGACCCATTTGTACAACTTGGACCACCTGTACATTGAGCTCAAGAAGCCATAGGTCTTCTCACGACCTAGATGCCCACCAACGGGCGTATCATGTACCTCATAGAGGATACGATACTTGAGGACCTCATCATGAGGAACGACCACACGAGGAATGTCCTCAGGGTTAGTGCTGTAGTACATCAGGCCACCATCGAGAGTGTATCGATGCTGCCTCGCGCGTAAGCGCCCCAACAATTCTTTGTCAGAGTTTTTAAATCTTCCCTCCCTAGAGCACGTAGCAAAGCTACACACATGTCGTCTTGTGCACACGCTGCGCGTATTAAGTCAGACACCGACGACGTCACGGTAGTGACATGGGTTAACTCGTAGCCTGGCCTGCGCGATACCGCGTCGTCAACTACAGTAAACCGCCCCGGCTTGTACTTCACCTCGAAGTTATACTCGGCAAAGGATGAAAGCCATCATGCGATTCTCTGAGAGAGATGTGGCGACTGAGTCGCTGTGCGTAGCGACGCATGATCAGTA